ATCTGCAGATTTGCAGGGAAAGCGTTCACACTCGTATAATCGTTTTGTCAGCTCTTCGAAAGAATTTGTTCGCTCGTCTCCGCAACACCGGCCTGCACTCAGCCTGAGGCACTTCTTTCTGAATTCCGTGCGGAATACAGAGGTCAGCTTGTTTACTTCCTGTGCCTCAAGACCTAACATCCTGGGGCATGGGGCAAGCCACCCGGCATGTGAATGTTGAAAGCTAAGCAGGTAAGCCAGACCTCGAGCGCTGTGGGACTTTGGGTGCAGCTTTGCGGCTTTGCGCACCACTGCCTCGATTCGGGCTTGTGCCTTTCCCAGTGGGTGTGATGGACACGAGCAGCACAATGAGCAGCAGGATTAGCAGCACAAGCAGGAGGGCGCGTGTGACCTGCAGGCTGGGCGCCTGAAGGCGCAGATTGCGTCAGTGCGGAATGCGTACTGGTTGCGTCAGCGCGAATGTGCCAGTGCATGAGAACCCACGCAGAGATAGAGGGGAGCATGGCCACGCGTTGCTTCATGCAAGCATTCTGACATGACTTGCGCACTGCCCTGGCAGGCCCTCACATAGTGCATCTTCCCACTCCGTTGCCGACATTTCAAGCAGCGCTGTCATGACTCTCAAGGGTGCCTCTATCCCAGCGGAGCCTGGCGGAGCCTCGAGGAGCCTGCCTTGCCAGAAGAGGTTCCTGGCTCCTGAGTTCTTGCAGATTTTTGACTCCTCCTTTCGAGCAGTTCCCGAGGTTTTGGCAAAGCCCCCCCTCCGGTCCCCGACAATGCCATGGCACTGTTGCACATGGTGCTGCAAACCGTGCTGTGAAGTAAGGCATGGACTGTGAAGTTGATCTTTCTGCCGAACGCCTTAGACTCATGCCTGTTATCGGCAGATCCTGGCGCAGCCTCGCGGCCCTTGAAGGCTGCTACACGCCCCAGGCGCCGTGGTTCGTCGTGTTGCGTGGCGTGTTTGTCGCCCGGGCGCCACCCACCGGCATGCTTGGCAAGAGCTGCGATAAGACGTTCATCTGGCCCCAAAGCACCAAAACCTCCTGAACCCAGCTCAAGATAGCTTCGGCTTAAGCTTAAGATTCTTTTCACGCCGGCTATACGCAACTCGACCAACATCCAAAATTGTGCCAGTTTGGCCCAGGCCAGGCCCATGGCATGCTCCAGATATGGCCTGGCTGCTGTAAATGGCGAGGAAGCTTGATGGGATGCAGCGCAACATGCCTGGTCTCTCAAGCAGGGCCCACGCATCAACCTTTCCGCCCGGTGTTCCTGCGTATACCCTACGTGAGGCTTCTGAAAGCTTGTGACAGTGTGTGCCAACTGCATTACGCATCCTGAACTGGATGATGCCTAGCAAGCCGGTGTGCCTAGTATAGCTGGTGGTGTGGTTAAGTTCGGTTCTTTGTCCGGGCTCCTGTGGACCAGACCAACAATCTTGATCTCCAGATCATGTGGCATTTTGGGCTGCTGAAGTTTAGCAGGTCACCTCGAAAGCGAAACTAGTCCCGCGCCTCCGCAGATGCTCACCAGAGTTCCTGAGAGTTTGTGGATCGTTCGGCTTGAGCCACTCTTGACCTTCACACAGAACATGTCTTCCACACCATACAAACAAAGAAAAGCCACCTGATGAGCACCGGTGTTTGCCTTAGGCTGTTCTACGGGGAGGCCCCGAAGCTGAAGAGTTGAAGAGCTGGCTGGAAGCGCGAAAAGGAAAAAAGTCTCAAAAAAGGAAAAACAGGCACAGCATAGGAGAGATAGGTGTTCAAGGTTGCACTCGAACAAACGCTTGTGCCAACTGCAGTCCAAGTGGGCACCAAGTGCGGATCGTCCATCCTCGGGGTCCTAGCAGCGGCACCGTGTACTTTGCTCCGCGCTGAGGTGCCAAACATAGAGCCCGAGCACGCTGTTGAACAGAGGTTCTAGACACCGAATGCCTGAAAGCAACACAGCGGACGTCCCCGTTCTTTGCGTTTCAAATCACCTTCTAATGCGTTTGGCGTCCTCTCGCTCCCTTCTCCGCCATTGCTTCAAGGCGGCTTTCTGCCTTCCGTGCGCCACGTGAGAACGTGGGAATGACAGAGCGGGAGTGGTCGAATCCGTCGAATCCGCTGCAACAGTCGCTGAGCAGCTCTGAGTCCGGTTGAAGTCTGAGGTTCTGAGCACTCCATGCTCTCCGCACGACCAATGGTAGATGGTGCCATGGCGATGGGCAGCCAAAAATGCCTAGCAGCCAGTCCGGGACAAACAGCAGGAGAAGGGCTGAAGGGCTGAAGGGCTGAGCCAGGGTTGGATCCTTAAGGGAGTCAAGCTGCAGCCCAAGGACGGACAGGCACAGGCGGCGAAGAGAGAGCCTTTTCAGAGAGACGCCTTTTCCAGTCCTTCCCATGCCTGTTGTCCCCTCTCCTGCCAGAACCGTCCAAGCTTCCCATCGTTGTGTGCATCCTAGGTTTACTCTTTCAGGTCATGCTATAGCGTCCCTTTAAAGTTCACACCCGCTTCAGATTGGCCCGAGTCCATGGCTCTGCAGTTTGGAGGCCAGTAGCTTCACTTTGTTTACTTGTTTGTCCTTCGGCCCTTCCGATTGGCGGATCCTGGATGGCCACAAGTACCATCTTGACTTAGAAACCGTACCATCATGAGTCTTTCTTCATGCGGTCGTATCTTGACTCACGAATCACCCATTATTACCCACCCTCGGGACCCCAACATAAAGAGCCTCATGAATCTAGTATCTGTTCATGAAGTCCACCATCAGAACCCTCAATCTGTTTCCAGGGCTGGTTCATAATCCTAATGTTTCCATCCTAATAATAACCCCTATCATCCTGGATTAGTTAACTCACTACGTTCTATCTCCAACCTCAGTGAATCCACCATAAGACATTCTACACAGGCCGATGGCAAGCGGAAGTCTGGTGGCCGGACTGTTTCGCGGTCCCGATTTGGGTTCCTAAGTTTGCCTTGCAGGCTGCTTCATGGCACACGTCACGGCTTTTGGGGCAAAAGCAATGGATGGCTGCTGAGAAGGGCTAATTGTGTGTAATCCGATGTCGACCTGCGAAAGTTTCGCATGGTTTGTGCGAAGCGTGCCGGTCGCTTCGGAAGTTTGGAGCATGAGTACCCAGGCACAGCACGGGCATTTGGGGTCGCAATGCCAGGGCGTGGATGCCAACGCTGGCCTTCGAGCTTCGTAGTGGAGCAACTAGGTGCTCGCTGAAAAAACACATCTTCCAAACCGTGTCTCATTCTTTCTGAACAGTTTCAAGCTCCGGCTGCACAAATCAGGCCGGGCTAGCGCGTCATACATGATTAGAAGACCCGGGCACGCTGACATAGGCTGAGCAAGCTCGGAATCGAAGGTGGCAGCACTGCCCTGTCAGAAGATGGGTCTTGACGGTGCAGCTCCCAGGGGCCATTTCTCGGGAACGCTGGCCGCGATGCAAATGCACGAACAGACCAACGAGAGATGCGCTGGCCGAGCTGACCTACAAAGCGCATCAACACAAGCGAGTCTCTTGAAGGGTCGCAGCATCAAACCTTTATAGCCGCGCCCTGTCCGCAGCGTTGGCCGAGCCGACTGCACCTGTTTGTGTAATTGCACATGCTGCCATGCTGCCGACATGCTGCTGATGCACTTGGTCCTGGGCCGCGCGAGCCTTGCGGAAGGAAGGTGAAGCTCTTTCTGGGTGCTTTCGGAACTTTGGCATCGTTGGCAGCTGGAGGTTTGGGCACAGGTCTTGGAAGTGACGAGCCTCATGTGACAGCAGGTTCAGGTGGAGCTAGAGAGCCGTCCAAGTTTGTGAACGGACTCGGCATGAGTACGAGGTTCCGAAGGCTGCAAGAAAAGTGTCTGGCTCCATCTTTACACCACCGAGGAGCCTTCAGGTAAGGCCCCCATCGAGCCTCCGACAGAAAGCAGCTTTCGTAGTGCTTCGCGGCCCCCTGAGAATCCAACTTCACAAGCCCAAGCATGACAGGTCACCAGTGCGTGAGTCGTCTTGCTTTGTGGCCCGTCCAGCCATGCCGCCCATCTAGCCCTTCGAAGCAGCCCATGTCAACCTCGCATTGCGCGAGAGACGCTGTCCGTCTCCCTGCTGGAGCTCCTGGCACAGCACGCGTGAGGCGAGGACCGACGCGATTGCGGGCAGGGGGCAGAGGCCGCAGTGGTCAGGGGGCCCCCTCATGCGATGCCCTGGGCTCTGTTTGAGTTCGTTTTCGATGCCTTGGCTGGATGCGCGGACGTCATGGCTCGCCTGATGGCGGAGTGCCAGAACCGACGCGACGGAGGTTTCTGAGAGGCCGGTCATGCAAGCTGTCAGCGAAGCTCGGCATGTGCACGGCGCCCTGTCACTGCGATGGTCATTTGGCAGCTTAGCGGGTGGCCCTAGCGCGGACGGCTGTCAGAACTCGTTTGGATTCCGCATGGACGCAACTCCAGCGGCCCATCGACCATGCTTGTAGCATCGCCCAGCCCGCCTCGGCGTGCAATAGAACTGCATCGGCAAGCTTCTCAGCAGAGGAGAGTACTTGAATGAACTGGATAAGCTGGTAGCGCGCCCTTTCTTCTGATCCTTCCAGGTCCGGCAAACCTTCGGTTAGGATCCAGCCTTCGAGCTGCTTGTGCGCAGAAGCGGCTGTTGCTAAGAAGCCCATCTCTTGTGGATGCCTGGCTTGTGGAGGTTCTTTGTGTAACCCCGGGAACGCACTCGTCTGTTGCAACTTGCATTCACACGAAGATGAGCCGCTGTCAAGGTGAGAGGGCGCTTTCCAGCGGTTCTGCGCATCGTCTCCTTTGGATGCGAGCTTGCGCATCTGTAGAGGTGGTATACGAGTAGCTGGCCGGGAGAATTGGAAGCATTCCGGTCGCAGACTCCATCGGAGAATGATTCACTAGCACTACGCCGAAGTGATTCGCCGGAGATGGCAAGCGCGTGGAGCGACTTAAGGACAGAGCATGCTGATTTGTCACGGATCGCCGAAACTGGCAAACGTGATCAGGGCGCTCGGGCCACGTGAGCCTCACCTGGTGGAGCATGCCGCCCATGCGCTCGCTTCGCTGCAACCTGCCCGGGCTGCCCGGCTTGCGCGGCCCCGGCCAGCTGCAACTCACGAGACTCACGAGACGCCGTGCGCAGCAGAGAAGGCAAACGCTTGAAGCTCGGAGCACTCACTTCAGCAGGCAGTCGCCGACTCGAATGAGGGAACCCAGGCTCCGAGATCTCACGCCTACGTAAGCTCTCAAGCATAAGTGCCTGCAGTTCCTCTTTAACCTTCGACTTTTTGCACGTACGCTTCAGGTCGACGCCGGCCATCCTTCGTCCAACCTTTCATTCTCTTCCGCTTCTCGTCACCAATCCCAACTGTCCTTGAGTGCAGACGATGGCAGGACTCTGCACTCTATGCCGCCTGCTTGGCCGGTGCCCGGCCGTTGCCCGCGCCTCCGAAAGCCCTGCGTACAGCGCAGAGGAGACAAACTTGTAGAGCACCGTGGGGCGAACAGCCAGGTGAGCCTAGCTACAGCGAGAAGCAACCAAGGCCCTGTGGTGAGTGACGAGCTTGGGCGCTCGCGCAGTGCGGTGTGCACGCGTTGGCACTTGCCGTTTCGGGCAGTCGTTGAGAAACCGCAGAGTCCAGGTGCATGCAATGCCCTGCTATTCATCATTCAACTGCTCACTTCTTCCTTCGCCATCGGCTAGTCGGGTCAGATCGTGGCCACCTTGCGAGCGCCCCGGTGACGAGGACTTGGTGCTGCTAGCATAAGCCAGCTGTCTTTGCGGTGCCGTGCGACCTGTAAAGATTTGTGTGAAGTCCCGGGCCGGTGACGTTGTTTGGTGCCTGGCTAAGGGCATGCACCCGGCTCGATGTACACTTTCCCCTCGCAGCTTCATATCTCAACACACTTGGGTTGAGCTTGGCACCCTGATGTTCATGGTCCCCGTGAGCTGCATGAGCCCCATGCCGGAACCCACAGTTGCAATTCGATCTCTGCAAAATCATGGGCAGTGCACACGCAAGCACCATGACAGGCAGGGCTGCCATTGAGCCTCACGGCTTGAAGCCAGAAATTCACGGAAAGGCGTGCGCGCGGCTTTGTGCTAGACATCGCCGGAATTGGACTTTGGCTTTGCCTGCGCTCTGCTGGTCCTTTCAAGCCTGTAGGCACCTCACCGGAACTAAGTCCTGCCGCAGGTGCAGAACAGGCTCCAGGCCAAGATCAGGCGCTTGCCTCTAAAAATGTTGCATGCCAGCTGCCAGCTGTTCCTGAACTGTGCCTTTGTTGGTTGCCCGTCCAATGCCCAGGGTTGAGGCACCGAGCTGAGCGCGAATATGGAGAGGGGCAGGGGGCGCCACCTAACAGCCTGTTGAACATCATGTAAGGCATGTCCGATATCGTCTGAAGAGTCAGAGGGGCACGGCAGAGTTGCACAGGCACCAGCAAAAGGCAAAGAAGCCAGAGAAGCCGCAGAAGGCCCAGAAGGCCAAAAGGCAGGGGGCTCGCAGGGGTCTTGCGCGGCTCGCGTCCCATTGATGTTTCACTGGTGTCCCTTAAGGGCATCTGCCGGAGTTGGCTTACATCGAAAATGCAGGAATTGCCCAGTAGCCGCAGCCATGCAAGTCCAGCATCGCAAAAGAAGTGCCAGGATGCGAGGCCACCGCACCTAAACTTTCCTCTCCAGGCTCGTCGGCACGCACCTCCTCGTGCCCGCCAGTTCCGTCACAGGTCGCTTGGGGCTCAAAACGGCTCCTGCAACAAACCCCCGACTGTGAGAGCCTTTTTGCATCAGATCTTCCAATCAGGAGCCTCCGAAACAATCTCCTGATAGGCACAGTTCTTGCACACTGAGAACTGAAGGACATCCATGATCTTCTCCTCTGCTCCCTGCGTACAATGGCTTGCGGGGCACTTCATTGCCTGAAGTCTGCCAGCATTGACAAAACCCAATTTTCAGAACAGCGTTGACGAGTCAGAGTTTGTGTGTGCGTTGTCGCGTTTCGCTTTGCTTTGCTCTGCATTAAGTCTTATTTTAGAGCATGATGAGACTTCAAGTGCGTGCTGGAAGCTGGTAGAATCCGAATCCAGCAACTAACCCTCTTGATTTGACCTTGTAGGAGCTTTGGCAAAAGAACATGAAAAAGCGGCGTGGCTGTGAAACACAATAACTGCCCCAGAATGGCCGTGACATGCTGTGACAAGCCATGAAGTACACGAAATGAGATGAACGTAGGGGCTGTGACACTGAACAATCTGCGCGGCTGGGCAAAGACTACATGTTGTCAGAACTTCCGTGACCAGAATGCCCAGAAAACACTGCCGAACGAGTCGGAGCTGCTGCAGCCTTCGCAGTCGTCCATCGCGGCACATGCCGTTGAGAGTTGACTACGTTGTTCTTCGCACCAGCTCGAGCTGGTACTGAGTGCGTCTCAGTCCCTCGGGAAAAACGTGTAGGACGTGCCGCAAGAGCTCGGGATGCTTGTGCGCCCCAACCGACCCACGCGCGCGATGGCTCGGATGCGCCTCTCAGTGCATCACACAGCGCCTTCAGACTCGGAGCTTACAATGATTCACAATGGCCGCCATGTCTCTTGAGACATTCTTGAACTTCTTGCACCTCCTTCTGGCCTCCGAACCCTCTGCTAGAAGACAGCAGAGCCTCGGAAGCTAATCCTAGGGGGCCTAGGCCCAAATCCAGAACCCTGCACCTGTGCACGTCCACTTGAAGAGATGGAAGGCCAAAGTAGGGTGCACAGTGGCAACACCATCGACATCCTGCCCGCGCTGCGCTGATGCTGAAGAAAGAGAGAGCACCGGCTGGCAGAGACAGAAACAGCGGGGCAGTTTTTGTTCCTGGAAGTTGTTGATTGTCTGTGCGTGTTTTTGGGCATGCCATTGTGACACACGAATCCGGCTACGACAGCGTCTGCTAGCTAGACTTCTCGTCCAAATTGCAAACAATCCAAGATGTTTGGGGCTCTCGAAATGCTACGTGTTTTCGACGATACTAGAGAGTGGGAACTGGAGAGCTATGACATCAGGCAGTTTGAGTCTGCGCGCCACTGACATGTCAACTTTGACATTGCTGTGCTGGGACAGTCTTATCAGTGCAGGTCCATGCAATTTGTTGTGCTATGCCACATGTTCAGTCGCGTTAGATGTCCCAGGGGAAGCTAAATGGCAGACACATAAACATGTGAGGGGGCAATTTCTCTAGGTGGGGAGAAGAAGCTGAATCGGTGCTATGAGCACCGCTCGATTGTAGAGCCCCGCCTAAGATTGCGAAATCGTATGGCTCAAAACCTCGGAGTTTCCGGAGAGCTAGAAGATGCCCCGAGAACGAGGAACTCCCCGAGCTAGAGGGTGCGCGACGCTGAGCGCAGCAGCACAGCCGTGGAGACGGGATAGTTTCCAGGGATATCGGACCTTTGGAAATGGCTACCTGAATTGTTGGGAGATAAAGCGCAGATTCGCAAGGTGCTACTGGGTCAGTTTTTGGCTAGTTGCGTAGTTTCTTGGCTTGTTGGATACAGAAGGCTAGGAAGAAGACGATCCAAAGAAAGACAGCGACCTGCTATCTGGCCCGAGGGAGACGAAGCTACCGACACCAGAGGCTCCTTGTCGGAAGCATGAGGGCCTCGACCTTAAGCAAAACGTGCGGACGCACGGTGAGGCGGGCTTGGTGAGAAGGTACCAGAGTTGTGCGGAGTTCCCGGGCGAGAAAAGGGCCACTGCTGGCAGGATGGTATGGGCTATCAAGGATACGTTGGTTGCGCAACTTTCGGTTGATGTGCCGCTCACTGAGCGCACCCCGCGTGTCAAAATATATAGAGAGGATAGTAGTTGTCAGCCAGGCGCATGCTCAGGGATGGCGCGTTTGGGCCTGGGCGAAGCTAGTCAAGGTTTGAGCCTCACTCAGATGGTCGGACCTGCAGGCTATCCATGATTGAGGGACCTCTCGAGACAGTCCTGAGACAGACTAAGAAGTTGGGGCCAAGCAAGCCCTACCAGTTTGCACTTCAGAAATAACACCTGGAGCAGAACAGTTGGATTGCTATTGGTTTTGAACTGCTAAGGCAGAAAGCTAACGCGAATGGCAGGAGGGGCACAAAAAAAACATAGCGCAATGCAGCATCTAGGAATCTAGGTCGTTCCTTGCTTGCGCGGGTGCAAATCAAGTTCTTTATCACGCCCACTGAGCCGAACTTGGGCGCAAACGATGGTGGGCTAGCAGAGTGCGGCATGAATAGGTACAACAGCATTTTCGTTTCCAAGCAATCGAGAAGGTCCTTCTTCTGTTGATCATTGGAATGTGACTGCGCCATATGTGCTGAAGTGTGCGATTCTTTTTGATTCAACCTACTTCCACCGAACTGATTCCATGAGCTTCAAGAAGGGCAACAAGAACGGGCGAACCAATGTGACCTTTCTGTACGGCAAATGGGCTATCTTGAACCCTTCTGCAAGTGCGACACCAAGCACGAAGTCCACGCGCTCTAATGCTTATGTTTCATTCCCTACCCTCAACTCTAAACCCTACTGCAAACCCTAGACCGCGGGGTATCCTCGGCAGCTCCTTGGCCAGCGGGCGCAAAAAGATCCCGTACACTAAGATGGTTGTGGTGTTATGTTGGTCGTGGGGTCATGAGGTTTGGGCTCTTTGGCAGAGGTCATGTGATGGCGGCAAGAGCTCAGTTGTTTAGAGCGTACGGCCAATAACCGTAAAGTCCGCGGTTCGAGCCCGCGTGAAACCATTTTCACAATGTGCTTCATGGCCTTCCTGTCCTGCAAAGCATGTTTTGTTGTTGCGTTCAGGAATTTAGGGTTTGGCAAATCCATTCAAGTTATAGGGTCGCGATGGCTAAGACTGAATACGACTACCTGAAGGAGGAACATAGAAAAAAAATCTGCCATTCCTGTCGACATGCTAGCATATTGGAACCCTCGTTAGGGGGAATTTAAACGCTCCTCTCATAACCTGACATCCCCAAACCCCACTCTCTATCGTTTTCGGATCTTTTTGAGCTTGCTGGAGCTGCCGAAAATTTGCAGTAAGGCATCTCCCAACTGTCCTCATTCAGCCAGTTGCTTCTCGTCTTGAATAATTTGTAGAAGCCCTTGCGGTTCTCGACCATGTCTTGATTCTTCGACGGAGTCACGAGAGCGTGGACTTTGTGCCACCAAACCTTGCCAGCGATGTTGTCTTGGGCCCTGGCAAACTGCAACACAACTGAATCTACAAATTCAAGATCTTTCATGGCTGGCCGTAGCCACCACCTCTGTTCAATTGAGATTCAAATGGATGCCTAAACCCTACAA